CCCAGGAGACTGGAAGGGGTAAAAGTCCATGTTGTCCTCTCAACAAGGGTCAAGGTGCCTTGCGGGGGTGGGGGCTTTATTGGCCCCCTAAAGGGAAAATACACATTGAAAACAGGGGAAATTACAGCATGGGGTTTCCCTTAAAATTAAAAACAGCCTGGGTGAGCATGCAGCCCGCTCCTGAATCATACCAGGTCACATGTCTGTCAACATTAGGAGGTGTAATATACTCACCTCGTTGGGTTCTCCGGTGCTCCAGGATTGGTGAATAGCTCCGCCTACCCTCCCGCGACGTCACTCAGCTCCTCAGCCGGCTTAAGCCGCAAACTTTCAATTGCTCGGCGGCCAAGCAATACAGCTGATGCCCTGTCTCCTGTGTGTGTTGCCAGAAGGTGCTGGGACTTGTGGTATTCCTCCTCAAGCTGCTACAGTGACCTGCTTTGGATCTCCTCCATTCTCTGCTGCTGTGTCCCCAGATGGAACACTTCACATACTTTCTACTACAGATTTAGTGTCTATAGATGAGCTTCAATACAGACTGATGGTCAAATAACTGCTCACAGGGAAACAAGTACTCACCAGTTTATACTATCCAAAGACTTCCATATATCTTGCTTAAGACTTCCATATATCTTGCTTTAACTTTGGAGTGACAGAACTTTAAAACTACTTTGTATTTAAAAGAATTTGCAAGAACCCTGTTAGTATTGATGAACTGTTATTTTCATAAGATGAATTGAAGTTACGCATTTACTAACGATGGGCAGTTAACCCTATCTGAGTTGGGAACACTGCAACTACTCATAAATGCATGTTCTGGTGAACTCTCTCTCTTTGTGTTAAAGATTTGATTAATGAATTTGATTACTGGACTGTTGCCTTAAAATTGAGTTTATGTGATCATATAAACTGCCAGGGCAGCCATCAGGGGGGTACGACCGATACTCATGTAAAGTGCCCGGGCAGCCTGGGGGGCCCGCCCGGGTCCCTTACATGACTATCGGCTGACGGTGAAGGGCGAGGAGGCGGAGTACTGGCCCTAGCAGCGCAGGGCCCCAGCATTGCCGCTCCAGCGGCTTCGAGACAAGCTGGGGCCCCATCAGCGATGCTGCTCGTCTGATGTCGTACTGGCCGGAAGTGACGTCACGGAAGTGCCACGTGTGCAGGTAAGAGGAGCTAGTAAGGTAGGAAGGAAAGGAGGGAGGGGAGGGATGCAGCCCTGACCAGCCCACCTGAGACCCCTTCAGAGCCCTAGCCGTGTAAGTGGACCCAAAATTTCTGACGGCTGCCCTGTGGACTGCTACTAAATCTCCTAATCATCGTAAGTTACTTTTGCAGTTGTGATCCTAGTGAATTAGTTTAACTACTTACCTGTTGCATTACAGGAGGGTATCTTGGCAGTAAAGCCTCCCCATCCCTTTCAGGGCACCGTCTTCCCATATTGAGGTGACAAGGGCCTTTTCCCTCATCCCCAAGAGGGTGATGTGGGTATTTCTTGGGGGAGCCCCCAGATATCCACTCACCCCACCAGGGAATGAGTATAGGGGTGCCAAGGACAACCAAGGCTGTAGAGC